GAGTGTTAATAAAAAATTACCAAGGTAATCTTAATTTTGACCCTATTTTGCCCTTAATATTTTATCATTTCGGACACATTTACCCTCATATGTCTACCAAATAATAATTACCTAGACCCCCTACATTTGAGAATTTAGCTAAAACACCACAGCCATAAAAAAGTTTAAAAGTTAACAAAATACCCCTAGGCACCCAAGACCACTGCTGGCCGCTGGCGAAAGTCGTCATATCGGCATAAGACCGATGGGATCTTGTCAATCGTGTACTAGTAAGGACGTTTCCGGTAACAACCAGATCTGGTCGTTTCACGGCCAAAGATGTGGTTGTGAAACGCCATAGATCTGGTCGTGAAATGCCATAGATATGGCCGTGAAAAGACCATATCTATGGCCGTTTCACGACCATATCTTTGGCCATGAAATGACCATATTCACAGTCAGATCTACTCGTTTGATCCATGGCCAAATTAGGCCTTACCGGGGCAGGACCAGCCAGTCGTGTGCCATTACGGCGGCTACCGGCGGTGGCTTGGGGTGGATAGGGGTGATTTTGTTACAAATTAAAGTTTTATATGGTTAGGGTGTTTTAGCAAAATTTCAACTATAGAGGGTTAAAAGAAATAATTTAAAAAATAATAGAATAAAATAATATTATATTATTATTTAAAAAGGAGGGCAATTTAGTAATCTATATAACATACCCACTCATTTATCCTCTCAACAAAACATATTATTATAACATACCCACTAATTTATTCCAACCAACCAAACACATTTCTCTAAAAATTCTATAGTAATCTATCTTCCAATAATACAACATTCTTCAGTATTATAACATTCCCTGAACCAAATGCACCCTATAATTCATATAAAATTTGCAAGATGTTTTATGAAATTTAGAAACATTAAAGGAAAACATGTCTATTTATGAGATTTTAAATACTATTTTAAAAGTACTATATGGACAAAATACATGTAACTTTGAATATAATATTAGCTAAACATAGTAAAAATATAGTAAAAATGTCTTAAATAGTAAACCAATTTGGTAGGTACCTTAAATACATTTTCAAGAAAATAAAAAATATAAATAACCTTTATTAATTATTTTGTAAGGAATTGTTTTTATAATCAATGTCATCGATCGCTTTATATATATATATATATATATATATATGAATCTCTCATTTTATCTTATCTTATCTTGTTTCCTAAATTAGCATTCCATAATTAACATATTTAAGATATTAATAATTTTAAATTCTATATAACAACATAAATAAGTTTGAATAATATATACAATAGAATCTCTCTATAGTCATATTATTGAGATCAACTAAATTTATTACTATAAAGAGGTTATAACNATTTGATATAGTATTGTATTATAGGTATATATAACACTATAATATACAATGCCATGCACAAAATGAGCCCACAACTGTAACAAATATATTACACAATTATATAAGTGATGTGTTAGATATATAACAAATTTTCTATAAACTAACTTGACAAGGGGAAAAAAAAAAAAAAAAAAACCTATGCCATATATTTCTTTTAATAACCAAAATAACTATGGTTGCGTTTGGTTCAGGGTGATATACGATTAATCTTGTAATCTTTGTTTAATTTTCAAGATTCTCTCGTTTAGTTGTCAAGTAATAAAATATTACATAATCTTTTATTGTAAATAGTGTTTACTGTTGATAATATTCGGACAATCAGATTACCTTCCCAACGAGTGTTAATAAAAAATTACCAAGGTAATCTTAATTTTGACCCTATTTTGCCCTTAATATTTTATCATTTCGGACACATTTACCCTCATATGTCTACCAAATAATAATTACCTAGACCCCCTACATTTGAGAATTTAGCTAAAACACCACAGCCATAAAAAAGTTTAAAAGTTAACAAAATACCCCTAGGCACCCAAGACCACTGCTGGCCGCTGGCGAAAGTCGTCATATCGGCATAAGACCGATGGGATCTTGTCAATCGTGTACTAGTAAGGACGTTTCCGGTAACAACCAGATCTGGTCGTTTCACGGCCAAAGATGTGGTTGTGAAACGCCATAGATCTGGTCGTGAAATGCCATAGATATGGCCGTGAAAAGACCATATCTATGGCCGTTTCACGACCATATCTTTGGCCATGAAATGACCATATTCACAGTCAGATCTACTCGTTTGATCCATGGCCAAATTAGGCCTTACCGGGGCAGGACCAGCCAGTCGTGTGCCATTACGGCGGCTACCGGCGGTGGCTTGGGGTGGATAGGGGTGATTTTGTTACAAATTAAAGTTTTATATGGTTAGGGTGTTTTAGCAAAATTTCAACTATAGAGGGTTAAAAGAAATAATTTAAAAAATAATAGAATAAAATAATATTATATTATTATTTAAAAAGGAGGGCAATTTAGTAATCTATATAACATACCCACTCATTTATCCTCTCAACAAAACATATTATTATAACATACCCACTAATTTATTCCAACCAACCAAACACATTTCTCTAAAAATTCTATAGTAATCTATCTTCCAATAATACAACATTCTTCAGTATTATAACATTCCCTGAACCAAATGCACCCTATAATTCATATAAAATTTGCAAGATGTTTTATGAAATTTAGAAACATTAAAGGAAAACATGTCTATTTATGAGATTTTAAATACTATTTTAAAAGTACTATATGGACAAAATACATGTAACTTTGAATATAATATTAGCTAAACATAGTAAAAATATAGTAAAAATGTCTTAAATAGTAAACCAATTTGGTAGGTACCTTAAATACATTTTCAAGAAAATAAAAAATATAAATAACCTTTATTAATTATTTTGTAAGGAATTGTTTTTATAATCAATGTCATCGATCGCTTTATATATATATATATATATATATGAATCTCTCATTTTATCTTATCTTATCTTGTTTCCTAAATTAGCATTCCATAATTAACATATTTAAGATATTAATAATTTTAAATTCTATATAACAACATAAATAAGTTTGAATAATATATACAATAGAATCTCTCTATAGTCATATTATTGAGATCAACTAAATTTATTACTATAAAGAGGTTATAACTTAATAGAGATGTAGTTGTAAAAATTATTATTTTAATTTCTTATTTTATAATTCATGTTTTAATAGTATTAAGATTTCAATTCATGTTTTAGTAGTATTAGGATTTCAATTCATGTTTTAATAGTATTATGATTTCAATTCATGTTTTAGTAGTATTAGGATTTCAATTTATTGTTTTAATAGCATTAGGATAGTAAGGAAATGGATATCAAAGAGTCATTACATAATTGAGTGATCAGATTCGATAACTTCATTACAGTAATTAAATGGATATTAATGCTTTCATCAATCATCCGAATGAGTAATTATGCTTTAACTAAAGAAGAAATCATTATTGAAATTAGACAAGAAGATGAAGTAGATAATCCTGAGGATAATAGTATGAAAATACTAAAAGTTTCATACCAAGAAACTCTAAATATGCTTGAGAGGCTAGAAATATTTTGGCTTCAACAAGAAGATGTTCATGCTTACAACTTATTACATACCTACAAGATAAAAGATATGGTAACAACTCTAAAACATAAATCATTGTCCTAAACAACTTTAGATAAATATTTTATTTCACCTTAACCCTTTAATATAACATAGCATATATTTTTACAATATACATATAATTATTACTATGTAAAGTCAAGTTCCTTAAGGCAGAATCTAAAAAAATTATAACTTATTACAATATAAAATTTATTCTTATTTATAACTAACCTAAGTTGAGACCAAAATTTTTTATGACTACATGGAGGTTATTTCTATATAGAATATCACTAAAAAAAAGTTCTATTGTAATACTAATTCATTTCCCTTGTTATCAATATGTTGTTAATGTTGTATGTTATAGCATATATGTACACCAGAAATCTCAACCAACATATATCTTGCCTTTGCAATCCCTAGAACCCTTAAAAAATTGGCAAAGATCAATAGTACATGGAATGAAATTAACAATTATTTTCTTAGTATGTTGGATTAATGCAGTTAAGAAATTTGGTGTCTTTCACAAGCATGTGATTAAGGTACCCTTAAGTTGAATGAAAAGGCCAATACCCCATTTAATAGTTGCTTCAATCACTTGTCAAAGGGTCAAATACAAAGGAATATTGAGAACAAGGTCTACTAATATGTTAATCAAATTTTAGGATTTTCTTATAATCTTGTCCGGGATACACGCAACATTTATTAAGAACATTGAATAAAATATTCATAGCATAGAACTTGAGAAAATATTACCAAATAACATAGTATTGTTGGGTAACACGATAAACACAACATTAATAACATCAAACACAAAATTAATAACATAAACATTATCTTCGAATACTAATCTTCTACTTTAAAATTTTCACATGTTACTATCCAATAAATCTCTTAAGATTGAGACAATAAGTCTTTAGACATGCCAAACACTATATTAATAACATAAACATTTTTTTCACATTTTTGTTAATATACTTGAATTTCTAAATTTCATATTTTACTTTCTAAAGTTAAATATTTTAAGACTGTAAAAGAAGTCTTTTAAATGAAATCAATTGTACTATATAAATGTTGAAGTCAGAACCCTTGATTATCTGGAAGTTTTGAAATTACAATCCACAAATTGTCCCTTGTAATATTTTGTTGACCAAGAATCTCCCTTGAAAGATTGACAAAATGAATAGTACATTGGAAGAAACAATAAACAATATCTGGTTTGGCAAGATTTTCTCGAAGAAAATAAGGCAAAAATGTACGACCAACTGTGTTTGCAATAATAGTGAAAGAAATGTGGTGATGCACGTGCATGGGAATAGCCTTAAGTCGAAGAAAAGGCCAATTAAAGTTGAAATAGTTGCCTCAAGCACCTAACAAAGGGTCAAATGGAATAATAATTAAGAAAGAAAAGGTCTAATAATATATTAACTGGAAACAAACACCGCACCTTCTTTGCTTGTTGTCTAATTCAAAAATCAACCGAGAAGATCCTCAAGATTCTTGATGAAATCTGCAGGATCTTGCTTTCCGAACTGTACAGATATCCTCAAGATTTGTCTCTCAATGCCTTCCCATTTAAAAGTCGCTTACCCTTTTCTTCATTTTCATCATCATCTTCATCTCTCAACATCTTCTACCTTAATTTTAACGCAAGAAAAAAATATTCAATCATGGGTATGGCTACTGCCGAAACTCAACCTCAGTTTCATGTTCTTGCTGTTGATGACAGCGTTATTGACAGAAAGTTGATTGAGAAACTCCTTAAAACTTCTTCTTATCAAGGTAACAATTAGATCCTTTAATTTCTTTTTAATTTTCTTGATTTTCCGGGGATCTTTTGTATGTTTTTGTTTTTAAAAGTTGAAATTAATCAAACTTTTGTATGTTTTTGTTTTTAACAGTTACTGCTGTGGACTCTGGGAGTAAAGCCCTGGAATTTTTGGGTTTGTTGAATGAAGAAGAAGAGATAAATTCAGAATTTGCTTCTTTTTCTCCTCATCATCATGATATAGAAGTCAATCTGATTATTACAGATTACTGTATGCCAGGAATGACTGGCTATGATCTCCTCAGAAAAATCAAGAAATCAGCATCATTGAAAGATATTCCAGTTGTGATAATGTCCTCAGAAAATGTTCCTTCAAGAATTAATAGATGTTTGGAAGAAGGAGCTGAAGAATTCTTTCTGAAGCCGGTTCAATTATCAGATGTAAGCAAGCTTAAGCCTCATCTCATGAAGGGAAAATCAAAGGAGAATATTAATGGTGAAATAAACAATAACAAGAGAAAAGGCATGGAAGAAATTAGCTCTCCTGATAGAACAAGAACAAGATACAATAACACTAATGGCTTGGAAGTTATCTAATTGGGGCCACAAGTTAAATAATGTTTTCTGATTTACTTTTAATTTGTAGGATTTTAATTCCTGCAACAATTTTATCTGTTTTTATTTTTGTTCTATGATTTTACTTTTATTTTAACCTTGATTGTACAGTTTCTCCATATAAATTTTTTTATTGGGAGAGGGAGATATAGGTATATAAGTTATAATAATGAGACTTACTTTGGATTATTGTAATTTTATTATCAAAAGAAAAATATTCATTCAATTTTGTATCATTATTTTTTTTTTTCATGATAGAGAGCGTAGCGGTTACCTTGTTAGCAATCGAGACACTCAATAATACATCTAAGGATTCTTATCCAAATATAATTTAGTTTATTACCTTTTCAACTGAAAAACCTGATGTCAAAGCCAACAGAAGAAGCTGGTGTCAATGTAGGTTTAATTGGCCAAACGCCATGATGGCGAAGGGATATAACTACAATACCCAACGCCACCGCCGTTGAGGTAGGGACATTATTCTAAACCTAATACAGTGCATCAAAGTAATACCCAAAATCGGAGAAGGTTGACATGTCACATGTGTATCTTCATCATGTGGCTAAAATCTTACGAAAATCCTTACACGCCATTAAAATCTGCCAAATCAAAATTTCGTAAGTCTTTAATATTTTAGAAAGCAAGATAGTTAGCGGGTCGTGTAATTAATTTTATAAGGGTGAATTTATTATATTTCAAAATTGTTGGGTGATTATGTTAGGGGAGAATATATTCTCTTTATATAGTATAATATATATTATAATTATTAATTAGATTGACGTAATCAAATACAATGAACATGGGGATCTCATGCGTGCACGTTTTGCAAACTGGCTGCAATTTTATTAGAAGTCTTACCAGCCATGTATTGTTAGGTGTAATGTGTGAATAAACGTGGTTTACAACTTTACATATTCAAAATTATATTGTTGCTTCGGTTGTCGGTGGGATATATCTATATATTATTATCTTCACCTTTTGGGATGTATGATTTCCTTCTATCTATACATATTCTGCGTTGGAGAAGGCAATTCAGTGGTGCGTAGAGGAATTACAATTTTACCATTTATTTATAATTTATGAAAATCTCATCCTTGATTTTAGAAATTAACAATGTTCAAATTTGATGAGACTAAGAATTCTGAACAGGGGATGAGGCTGTTTATATGTTGAAAATTAGGGACGATAAACTTTTGTGAATTCAAAAATAAATAATGTTGTTCTTATATTTCACAGTTAAACATTAAATTTAATAAAGGAATGATATTGTTATTTTCTGAAATAAGAGATTATTTTCTTATAGATAATATTACACTTACAACCAAATTTTAAAAAATTTCTATTACAACTAAGAAGTAACAAATCGTAATTAGTCAATTTATAAATGAGTAATACCTACTCGCTATGAGTCATGTTGCTAAATTACGAACTGACCAATTACGAACTACCACATTGGAATTGTGAGAGAAAAATTGTAAAATTGAGTTATAAGTAAATATTTATAGTTTTATTATGTGATAAATGGGAACAAAAAAAATGATTTACCTGTGTTATATTAAGAAAATGATTTTAATTTATTAAGGGCGCCTTTATATTATACTAAGACTAAACTTGCACTTTCTAGTTTTATAAGGATGATAGTTATTTCTAGTTAGAAATATAATTATGTTATAAATAAAAAATTAGTATTCTTCCCCTTAAAAATAACATTAAAAAATTTGGATAAAAAACTTTCATTGGATCTTGTTATATTATCAATTCTACTAAAAAAAATCATATTTTCCAATTTGTAATAAAAATTTTAATACGTTGTCCCACTAAATTTAAGTTAAACATTAACTATTGTAAATTATACCCGAATCCAGTGGGTGTAACCAGGGGTGGATCCAGCCTCTTTTTGGGTGGGCTAATTTTTTTTTTTAAATATTAATATGTATAATTTATATATTTTGGCCCATCCTAACAAAAATATTAATATATAATTATTTTTTATTTTGGCCCACCCTAAAAGAAATTCCTGAATCCACTACTGGGGGTAACCAAAAGGTGTGTATATATATATATATATATATATATACTTTGACAAGTTTAATTTTAATGGAAATTATTATAAATGATATTATAACTTTTAAACACAATCATACTCTATTTTATATTTTGTTTTAATTTTTAACCTTTAATTCTTATATAAACTTAAACACTAAATTTAAAACTAATAAAGCAAAGCTATTTTTTATATTAAATGGGGTTTGAAAAGATTGTTTTTAAAATATAATAGAGTGAATATAACAATGGATACTAACAGATTTTAATCCTATTTTTAATGTATTAGTTAACCAAAAGTCAATGTTCGAAGCTTCCTTATAATGTTTGACATGATTCTAGTCAATGAATTTGAGGGATTATATTCCATTATTAATATTCATTGTATTCACTAATGTGTATATAGTCAAATAATATAAAATTTTCAAAATGTTAAATATTATCTCATTATTAATTCTATTAAAAAAACCATATTATAAATTTTGTTCTAAAAATATTGTTTATAAAGATATAATAGTTATTATGGTTCACCTAATTCTTTGATTTTTTTTATTTCTAGCTAGATAGGAACTCATACTGCATGAAAAATTTAATGGACAAGTTTCTTGCTTGTCCCCTCACAATTAGAGATTATATCTTAATTGTTAATATAATTTTTAATCATTTGACTCCACTACTTAAACTCAATAAATATTAATAGTCAATGTCGAAGCTTCCTTATAATGGTTGACACAATTCTAGTCAATGAATTTGAAGGATTATATTCCATTATTAAATATTAATATTCATTGCGTATATCGTCAAATAAAAATAATATTTTTAAAATTTTATATATTATCTCACTATTAATTATAATAAAAGCTATATTCTAAATTTGTACTAAAAAATTGTTTATAAAGTTATAATAGTTATTATCTTTCATCTAATTTCTTAGATTTTTTTTTTTTTTTTTTTTTTTTGGTTCTGGCTAGATAGCAACTCATATATCAATAAATTAATTCTCAGTTAGTATACAAAGACTTTAAAAAGGCAAAAAAATAAATAAAGGAGAAAATTGAATAATTATTATGAATGGTTCATTGACATTCATTAATTAGCTTTCATATCAAATTGGTGTAAAATAGTGTAAAACAATATAAATATTGATGAAACAAAATAATATATATTGGGCCGGACAACTGTGATCGTGGACAAGGCCTTGTAGTGCATAACCACTAGCCTAGAACTGGGTTGCTAAAAATAGGAACGCCGTCTAGGGATATCAAAATAACCCATAGGTTTGGGGCTCCAAGGAGCTGCACCCTAATGTGTTAGATTTAGATAGTAAAAAATTTAGGGTGGGATAGATTTGGATATGAATATCTTAATCCAAATTATTTTTGCGTGGGCATGTGAATGCTAACTTTGATTCTAACTTGCTCTGTTCACCCCAAAAAATTATATTTATAACTACAAAATTATATATAATATTTAACGTTAAAATTATATATATTATTTATTAAGAATTATATTGTTTACTTTTTTTTTTTTTTTTTTTTAACAAAAGAAAACCATAGTCACCACAACCTTATTCCTCAGTTGACTTACTTCAAATTGATTTCTCGTCATCTTCTTCACTTGTGAACCTGAAAATAAGGAGCGTAATTAAATTGTTTAATCTATATTTACTAATTGTGTAATTAAAAGTGAGTAAGAAGAATGAACAAAAAAGCTGAAAGTGAAATACTATGTTCAAACTTAAACCCATCTCTTTGTCTAAAAGTGATAAGTCGATAACGATGAAAGGAGGAAGGAGATGAGTGACGATCAACGAGCGACGACGACAAGCAGTTGCCGACTAGAGTAAGAACAACGGATGGGGCGGTGGGAAGGAGTCTATATTCGCAAAGAAGAAGTTGTATTCGGTTTTGCGTTTAGTTGAATTAGGGGATTTTGTTTTTAGAGTTATGATTTTTTATTTTTTTTTAAGCAAACCGGTTCGGTTCAAGTACCCAGTTATTTTTTGCAAGTGACCCGATACCGAATTGAATATTCGATTACCTCAAATATTAATACCTGAACCAGAATCGAATTTACGGGTACCCAATTTTTTTGATTCCGGTACCCTGTTCGTTCGGGTTTCAGATAATTTTGAATAGCCCTAATATTAAGGATAGGGATACACTCAAACATTGTAAAGCTTTAAAAAAAAATGCATTTATTGCTTGTAAAAAGTTAAGTAATTAAAATGAGGTTGACAAACTAAGGTGTTGCATGAGTGCCACCTTGACAATGTCACAAGGCATGCAACAAGTATACCTACATTAGTGCTGCATGGCTTTTGGTGAATTTTAGAAAAAGGAGAACAAAGGAGCAAATAGAGAAACAAAACACAAAATGAGATAGTTAGCAAGTAAGAGAGTTCATTACATACATTAATGAGTTCTTATTGCAAACAAACATTCTCTTTTGTGTGAATCCAAGAAATATATTATTAGCGTTTACTTCCATGTTTTTTCATTACTCAATTCTCTTAAAAACACCAACAAACACTTTTATAAAGTCTATCCTAGTACAAAGCATATTGAATACTTACCATTAGCCTTTAATAAGCCCAATAAGCCTGTGTATGTAGATCAGAATTATGGTTTTTTCCTCTTGTGACTTGGTCGGTCGCATGGCCCTAAATACGATATGTCTAACTTGAGCATCGGAGGGTTATTGCCAGTGGCACCACACTAGCCCCCCTTGACCTGTGTTTGTGTTCACAATGAGAGATCTAGCTTGCGACGTTGGTGAGAAGGCTCCTAGGATTAGAGTTCTGGATGTGAAAAGACCATAGGCCCAAGCCTACAAGTTTTTAGTATCAACAACTTGGCGTTAAAATAAGGGTCAGATAAGTTTGTTGGTGATTTCTCACTCAAAATCAATGGCTAATCAGACAGATGAAATGAACAACCACCTAGAGATTGAGGATGTAAATGTTAATTGTATAGGTTGTACAGTTAATTGTGGCTAGTTTGTGTATAAGTTGTACAGTTAATTGTGGCTAGTTTGTGCAGATAAGTAGTTTGGTTAGTTGAGAAGTTAGTTGATTAGTTGACTTTATTGTAACTATAGTTATTTGTTAACTAAAGCAAGTTTTATGGTTAATGACTGTAGTGTATAAGCAATCAAGCGTAATAAGAAAATCCCAATTTCTTTCTTCTTCATTGCTCTCAATTTCTCCAACATGGTATCAGAGCACAAATCTTTTGCATTTCGATCTGAAATCAGATCAATCAAATACTTAATTTTGTTCTAGTAATGCTCAAAGGAGCTCAAAATCTACTCCATTTCATTGTAGTGAAGCTTATCAAAGATCGAATTTCTGCAATTTTTGGCTCTTTAAAGCTTGAATTTCTGCGTCTTTCAACTCAAGATTCTTGAAGTTACTAATCAATCGTTATGACAACACCAAATGAAGAATCAATCGTTCCTGTAGTTGACTCGAACTCGCCTCTCTATGTTTCATTCTTCGGACACGCCAAAGTATGTACTTGTATTTGAGCAGCTCATAGGCACTGAAAACTATGGAATGTAGAGTAGAGCAATGATAGTTTCTTTATGCGCAAAGAATAAGCTAGGCTTTGTTGATGGAACCTATACAAAGTCTTCAGTGCACTCACGCTTGGTTTCACAGTGGGAGAGATGCAATTCTTTAGTCCTTGCCTAGATCTTCAATTTGGTTTCTAAAGAAATCTTCAATGACATTGTTTATTCGACAACTGTTTCCCAAGTATGGCAAGATTAAGGTTAACGGCACCAGAGTTTTTGGCATTCATTGCAAAATTGTGAATCTAACACAAGGAACAAACACAGTGGTGATCTACTACAATAAGCTCAAATCACTTTGGGATGAGCTAGATTCCTTGGTCAGCTTACCTGCTCCTGATAGCATCTCTGCAAAAGCATATCTTGATCATCTCAATCAACAAAAATTACTGCAATTCTTGATGGGATTAAATGAGTCATATTCGATGGTACAGAGTCTGATTTTGCTAATGAATCCTTTGCCGACCGTAAAACAAGCATATTTGGTAGTGAATCAGGATGAAAGCCAAAGGGTTTTGATTGGAATGAATGTTAACTCAGAGGTGACCACAATCGTTTATGCTCAGCATAACAATAATAAAAGTTAGAATCAGAATCAGAATCAGGGACAGAGGTACAAAAGCAAGAAGCCATATGTCGAATGTGACTATTGTCACTTGCCTAGGCATAAGAAAGACTCTTGTATAAACTGATTGGTTACCCTATGGATTTCCAGTTTACAAGAGGCAAAACAAACTCAAAATCGAAGCTTTCAACTAATCAAGTGCAGACTCAGAATTCAACTTCGGAAGTTTCAGATGTTAACAATGTTAATATGACGGTTGGACCAGTCTTGACTTCGGAGCAATATAATCAGATCCTTCAGTTGTTGGGCAAAGAAAACATTGCTTCTCCAGCTGATAATCTTGCAAGTATATCTACTGGGTTTTTATCTTGTTTGGATGATAATGGATGGATCATAGATACAAGAGCTACATATCACATGACCTTGAATTATGCACTTTTAAATTCCCCTATTCCCATAGAACCTTAATCCAAATCCCTTGTAGGTTTACCAAATGGCACTAGAACCCATATTAAGCATGTTGGCTCTATTGATCTTGATAATGGAATTCACCTTTCTAAAGTTCTTCATGTACCAGACTTTAAACACAACCTGATTTATGTTTCTAAATTCAGCTTCTAACAATTGCTTTATTCTTTATATCCTGATTTTTCTCTTATTCAGGATCTTTGCAATGGCAAGTTGAAGGGGATTGGTAGACATAGCCATGGCCTATATTTTTTTTATCCAAACACGAAAAGTTTATCCCTATTATCAAATATAGATCTGTTAAATAAAAATGTTTGTAATGCATCTACTGTTTTACCTTCAGACAATAATTTACCTTTTGATCTTCAGTTGAATGAAACTTTGATTTCTCCTACTTCGTTTATGACTGCAAATTTATCTGTTAGTCTTGAGTTGTGGCATCAACGTTTAGGACATGCTCCTTATTTAGTTTTGCAAATTATGCACCATAAGCTTAATGTGTCTAATCCTCCACCTTGTGTTATTTGCCCTTTAGCTAAACAAACCATGACTTCTTTTCTTCATAGCAATTCCTAATCCAGTGCTGGTTTTGATCTATTGCATATGGATGTTTGGGGTCCATATAGGACCCCAACTCATGGTAATTCTAGGTATTTCCTCATTGTTGTAGATGATTACTCTAAAGTTACTTGGCTTTTCTTAATGCAATTCAAATCTGATTCTTTTGCCACCATCCAACATTTCCTTCAAATGGTACAAACTCAATACCATTTAACCCCTCAATGTGTTAGGACTGATAATGGCCTTGAGTTTTTTTAACAAGGATTGTCATGCTTTATTCACTAGTAAAGGCATTATACACCAAAGTTCTTGTGCCTATTCCCCACAACAAAATGGAGTTGTTGAGAGGAAATATAGGCATATCCTGCAAGTAGCTAAGGCCTTAAAATTCCAGTCAAATGTTCCAACTCATCTATGAGGATATTGTGTACAAATAGCAGTGTACCTTATCAATCGTTTTCCTACATCTGTCCTTCGCGGTTTATCACCATTTGCAATTTTTTTTTGGAAAACTTCCTATTTTGGATCATCTAAAAGTATTTGGTTGTCTGGCTTATGCTACTGTCCTCACTTCTAAGGATAAACTGTCTCCAAGGTATGTTCCTTGTGTTTTCTTGGGTTATTCTCTAAACCAAAAAGGTTATTTGCTTTACAATCTATCTTCACATACTGTTACTGTCTCTCGGGATGTTCTTTTCTATGAATCTATATTCCTCTTTACTTGGTCTCAAACATTACAGCTTCCTTTTCCAGTTGACACTTCTTTCCTTGACTTGGAGTCAGTTTCATCTCCTGTAATTCCTTCCCATACTGATGCTGCCCAGATCACAAAACTTTCTCCTTCTTTTGTTGCTCAACCTGCTATACCTTCCCCCACTTCTCCTGTTTCTGATATAAACTCTTTACCTTAGCTTGTTAGGAGATCCATCAGAGTTTCCAAACCTCCTATTTGGACCTCAGACTTTATTTGCCCTTCTCTTTCCAATCCTTTAGCCAACCATATTTCCCATTTTCCTTATCCCATTTCCAACTTTGTTACTTATACACATATTTCACCTACTTACAAAGCCTATTTGTCCTAACAATCATTAGTAGAACCTACTAGTTTTTCTCATGCTGCCGGGGATCCAAATTGGGAGGTTGCTATGCAGCAAGAAATTAAGGCCTTGGAGCTTAATAATACCTGGTCTGTTGTCCCTCTCCCTCTTGGAAAAGTTCCTATAGGTTTCAAGTGGGTATACAAACTCAAATACAAAGCTGATGGTTCTTTGGAAAGGTATAAGACTCGGTTGGTTGTTAAGGGATATACTCAGTAGGCTGATATAGATTATGCTGAGACTTTTTCCCTGGTTGTAAAAATGGTTACTGTTAGGACCATTTTATGATTGGCTTCCTTGCATGATTGGCCCCTTTATCTTTAAGCTTACACAAGCTCTTCTTACTAGAGGGTTCAATCAATCTAAGGCAAATTATTCCTTGTTCATTAAGAGGGCATATTCTTGTATTATCATACTCTTAGTTAGGGGATAAACCGGTTAACCGAACCGGTTTATCCAAACCGAAAACCGAACCGGTTTTCGGTTTTAGAGAAAATCCAAACCGAAAACCGGACCTGTTTCAGTTAAAAACCGAATATGAACCGAACAGAATTTTCGGTTCAGTTACCGGTTAACTGGTTTTCAAATTACCCTTTAATCTTTAAAATTCTTCAATGTTTCATTTAAGTCCCTAAATTCAAATATTTATTATTTTATATATAATTTCATACTATGTTTCTCTTTTATTTTTTATTATTGTTGTATTCTTTATATGAAAAATACATTAAATTATTTATTTGCAAATACTGAATCCAAAATATGAAATAAAAACATAAAGAATTCAATTACACATTACTAAATAGTCAATATTCATAAATAAACTCAAATACATAACATAAAATTACAAAGTAAAAAAACTTAATATGACATAAATCATCTTCATCCCACAATGTTGGTGTTAGTGGAGTTTCTTGATTCCGTATTCCCCGGATTTGTTAATGGAGTTGGAGTTGGAGCTGGAGTTGGAGTCATCCTTGTCGGTGTCTCACCAGTATTATCCGCGGCCGATGACATCTACAATTCATTAAGTAAATATGTTAATCAATGTTTGTGCCCAAATTATTATTTGCATATATGCTAAAGATTTTATAAAAATCTAACGGGTGAATAAGCTAGAGTATTTTATCAAACATTAACATACACATCAATACATCATGACTTCATAGGTTACAAAAAAAAAAAAATCATTTTCAAATATATATTCTTTCTCCAATCTAACAAATCCACACAAATAAACAATTAAAACATAGTTAATTTTAAACACAAACTGTCTTCAAAGTTCAAATCACATACATTACAAAACCCATCAATTAATTTGTCAGCCTGAGGTTTTACTTAATGAGAAATCTCAATAGAATTTTAAAATCTGACATCCAGCCATCCATGAATAAACTGAACCAAACATTTGAGAAAGATTAATATAATCATAACATAATCCCAACGAGAAAACAAAATAATAAATTTACCAGAAACCCAAATGCTACCGAATTTTAAAATCAGGAAGATTGATGATTTAAACAACCACCATTATAACAAAGTAACAAACTAACAAATAACCCCAACGAGAAAAACACAATAATCAATTTACCAGAAACCACCCAAATACCACTTGATTTAAACTACAACCATTATAACAAAACAAACAAAAACTTCAGCACAAATAGCATGGCATATAACTAATAACTAATAACTTGTTCAAATCAAGATTCAAGAGTATGCTCACTGTGGGTCTGCTCAGTGGCTTAGTGCTCACGATGGAGTCTCTTTAGGGTGGGTCTACTCAAGCCTCACGGTGGCTTGATTAGAGAGTGATCTGTGGACTGTGAACGTGAAGCTCAGCAGATTGGAGCTTGGAGAGAAGACTCTGTTCATGGTGGGACAATGGCATGACTGCCTAACTGGACAGTGGAGTTTGCTGGAGTGCTGGGTGCTGGCAAGCGACGAACGTAGCTCATGGTGTGGATGGAGTAGCTCACGGTGACTGGACAGTGGAACTGGATGGAGTCAGCTCTACTCAGTAGCTCATGGTGTGGAGTCAGCTCTGCTCACGGTGTGGAGTCAGCTCTGCTCACGGTGTGTACTATGGATGGAGTCACAGTGTGGAAGACTGGAACTGCCGGCTACTGGAGTCTGGAACTTTGGAAGTGACGAACAGACGATTGATGAAGACGAAGTGCAGAGATTTGAATTTTGAAATTTTCAAATTTGGTGACTGGAGGCAAAGAGAGTGAAAGACGAATATGGATGGCACTATAGCGTGACTGTGTGTGAGGAGCAAAAAAAAAATTTTTGTTTTTATATGTAGGGTAAAACCGGTTTAAAAACCGATTTTCGGTTAACCAGTTTGCAATTTTTTTCAAACCGAAATCCAAACCGGTTTTTCGATTTTTTGAATTTCACTAACCGAACCGGTTTGTAAAAAAACCTAATTTTCGGTTCAGTTTTCGGATTTTTTATCCCACCCCTACTCTTAGTATATGTTGATGATATAGTACTTACTGGAAACAATGTTGATATGATTCATCAAACCAAGAAAATGTTGCATTCTAATTTTCGATTGAAGGATTTAGGGATGTTGAGATATTTTTTGGGTTTTGAGGTTGCTAGATCTGTCAAGGGAATCAGTTTATGCCAAAGGAAATATGCATTAGAGCTCATTTCAGAATCTGGTTTATCTAGTTCTAAGCCTTCTTCAGTCCCTATGGAACAAATTTGAAGCTCACCTCTATTGCATATGAGGCCTTATTTCCCACTAAAAATGATCCTCTTCTTTCTGATCCATGTGTTTATCAGAGATTGGTGGGAAAATTATTGTATTTGTGTATGACTCGACCTGATTTAAGTTACTTTGTTGACTTGCTCAGTCAGTTTGTGCATCATCCTAAGGAATCTCATATCTGAGCTGCATTTAAGATAGTTAAATATATTAAGTCAACTCCAGGTTTGGGGTTGATTTTTTCCTGCTGAAAACAATCTGAATCTATCGACCTTTTGTGATTCTGATTGGGGCTCTTGCCTCATGACAAGGAAATCGGTTACAGGTTATTGTATATTTCTTGGTAAGTCTTTGATCTCTTGGAAATCTAAGAGACAAACAACTATATCTAAATCCTCTTCTAAAGCTAAGTATCGAGCGATGACTTCTACTGTATGTGAGGTTATGTGGTTGGTGCAATTACTTACAGAACTGGGGTTTCCAAAGTTGATTCCAGTCCCACTTCATTGTGACAATCAGGCTGCGAATCACATTGCCTCAAATCCCATGTTCCATGAGAGGACAAAACATATTGACATAGATTGGCATATTGTCCGGAACAACTCAAACTTGGCTTGATTCAAATTGCTTATGTGCCTTATTCGGAGCAGTCTGCTAACCAAAGCTGTAACTAGAGTTATGTGTTAACTCAAGCAAGTTGTATGGTTAATGACTATAGTGTACAAGCAGCCAAGCGTCATAAGAAAAGCAAAACAAAATTTTCCTCAATTTCTTTCTTCATTGCTCTCAATTTCTCCAACAGTGAACATAGAGGAGGAGACCCATACAAACCTAGATGTGGGGAGGCCCAAATGAAGGACGCCCAGGAGCCAGGCTCAAAGGTTAGATTTTATGGAGCATATCTTGTTGGAAATACAGAAGAATCACGAGAGCCTGCACTAGCGGGTTAATGAAATAAAAACTAGCTGTCTTGGGCCCTCTAGAGGAAAGGCTCTTATGGTGCTTGGTAGAACCCACACAAGAGGTACCCAACATGAGTAGGGAAGTCTTAGCGCACGAAGGACTGGACCCTGCTAGGACTCAACACCCAGAACAAATCGTGCAAACCAATGAACATACTATGCAAACTAATGGAGTCCTCCTGGATCTTTCAACCAAGTGGTGCCCGAGGGGTTGTCCAACAGAAGACAATTAACTGCTACAACGTGAAAGATAATGGAAAGGAATCCTCTTGGTTGTAAGGATTTCAATAACGTTGAACTATGCAATTGGCGTAGCAAAAGAACACAAGAGCCTTACTGATTCATTTTAATTTTAGGGTTTGTAAATATGATATCACTGATTTATTTTATTTGGCGTGGATTTATTGGCACCCATTAATAGACTAGAGAAGCCCCCCTTTTAATGATTTTTAAAATGACAAATTTATCCCTAATATTAACTTATTAAAATTTACTTAAATTTACTATCCATCACTGATATTTTTGAGTCCCCACATTTATCTCATAATTGCCATTCAAATCACACTTAGAACTAAGAGATAGTTTAATGGAGAAAGAAGATTCACAATGGGATATATAAGGTTACAAGCGATACAAAATTGTAAATTTTTTATTGATTCTCAATTTTTTTTTCTTTTTTGAATTCAATTCATATCTTTGATGAAAAACTAGTTGGAAAAGGTATAGATTTCACGTTAACAAATACCAAAAGTGATTTTAAAGTTATTATAATTAGTAACAAGATTTTTTATTATAGTTCTATTAACATAACATGTCAAGATTTTTTTTTTTTTTTTTTTTTTAAATATTTCTTCTTATTGTATCTTATGCATATGTAGTAAAACTAAATTCCTTAATATTTGTATAGGTTATTGTGTTCTTAAGTTAATTATTTTGGATTTTTATATTTTATTTTTTGACCTCTTAATTGAATATGATTTTGTGGTATAATGAAAGTGGGTAGTATAGAGCATAAGTGAAGGAAGGAAAAGTTACTCTTTCAAAAATATTTAAAAAAAAAAATGGAGACATATATGGAATTAATGGGTAACTTAAGGAAAAAATAAGTTTTAAACTCTTAAATGGGGTGCTTAAAG